GGGGCATTACCGTCCCTATCAAACCTCATGTCCCTCGAACGAGTCTTTTGACAACAACAAAACTTTCTTCCATTCCTAATCCTCCTCTTAGGCTTGACGAGTTTACAAATACTAAGCATCGGAAAACCCTAATCTTCCTCCATGGACCATCCCAATTCCCCTTTGAGTCCACAGCGCTTGTTGCCTTACTCGCCAAGCAATGTAACATCGTGGGTACAATTCCAGACATATTTGGGAAATTCCGTAATTTGCAGAATCTTAGCCTTTCGTATAACAATCTTACAGGTTCTTTACCGGCATCGTTTGGCAAGTCCCAGATTGGGAGTTTATGGCTTAACAATCAGTTGATGGGTCTTTCAGGTAGGCTTGATGTTCTTGGCACAATGTCACAGTTGCAACAGGTTTGGCTTCAATCAAATCAGTTTTCTGGGCCAATTCCTGATCTTTCAAATTGTACTTCCATAAATGATCTTCAGCTTCGCGATAATCAGTTAACGGGTGTGGTTCCTGATTCTATGATTTCGCTTCCTATGCTTCATAATCTGTCTTTACAGAATAATAAATTTCAGGGTCCAATGCCTAGTTTTCCTAAAAATGTTCAGGTGACACTTGGAGAAACAAACAGTTTTTGTGATACAAGTCCAGGCCCTTGTGACCCTCAGGTGACAACATTACTTGAGGTTGCTGGGGCATTGGGATATCCTATGACATTGGCTGAGTCCTGGGAGGGAATAATGCTTGTAAACAATGGAATTTTATTTCATGTGATTTGAAGGGAAGTGTGAGTGCTATTAATTTTGGGAAGCAGAATTGGGTTGGTACAATATCGCCCGCCATTGCTAACTTGACTGCATTGAAGAATTTGCTTTTGAATGATAACAAACTCACCGGTTCCATACCGGATAGTCTGACTAGTTTAGCACAACTACAGCTTCTTGATGTCTCCAACAACAATCTTTCAGGAAAAATACCACCTTTTGCTTCATATGTGATGCTTAAAACCTCTGGCAATCCATTACTTGGCACAGATTTGCCCTCTGTTCCGAATAATACTTCTCCTGGTGGAACTTCATCCACTGGGACAAATAGTCCATCGGGTGGAGCAACTACAACTGACTCTTCTATCTCTCCATGGGGGATTGTTGGTACCATAGTTATAGCTGTGATCTTAATTGTTGCTCTGTTTTTGGTAATATATAAATGCTACATGAAGAAGCGCAGTGGGAGATTTAAGTGGGTTAGTGGCAGTCAAAGTTGGAAAGACAAGGAGAAGAAAGATGCCGGGGCTAAAGTGACTAGCTATGACGCCCTTGCAAGTGAATCATCAGGTCAAAGTAGAGATCCAAACAGTGATATTCACGTCTATGATGGTGGGAATGTTGCTATTCCAATAGAAGTTTTGAGAGAAGTGACAAATAACTTCAGTGAAGATAACATCTTGGGTAAGGGTGGATTCGGCGTCGTCTACAGAGGACAACTCCACGATGGGACAGAAATAGCCGTGAAGAGGATGGAATCGACTTCGATGAATAACAAAGGGCTGAATGAGTTCAAGGCTGAAATCGAGGTTCTCACAAAGGTTAGACACAGAAATTTAGTCGCGCTTCATGGTTTTTGTGTCGATGGAAATGAAAGGCTTGTGGTCTATGAGTATATGCCCCAGGGGACACTGGGGCAGCATTTGTACCATTTTGATGAAATGGGGTTTCATCCACTTACTTGGAAGGAAAGAGTCACCATAGCACTGGATGTTGCCAGAGGGGTTGAATATCTACACAGCTTAGCACAGCAGAGTTTCATCCACAGAGATTTGAAACCGAATAACATACTCCTGGGAGACAACTTGAGGGCTAAGGTCTCTGATTTTGGTTTGGTTAAGAATGCACCTGAAGGGCAATACTCAGTGGAGACTCGTTTAGCTGGGACTTTTGGATATCTTGCTCCAGAGTATGCTGGTATGTACAAAGTCGTGTGTTTTTGCTTCAGTAAGTTTCTTAGGTATATACATAATAGAGTAAATTACACTTTATCCCCCAAAATATTTTATTTGTTTCACTTTGTACTCTCAACTATAAAACTTTTTACATTATACTCTAAAGTATTAATTTTATTTCATATCAATTCAATAGATAACGGCGGCATCTTGAAAATCTGCAAGTTCCTAATGCCACTTTATTTTACCTCTTTTGCAACCAATAGTTGTTGGTAAGAAAAAAAAGTTGGTCAAAAGCTTAAGAAGGATAAAATCATGGATGAGTATTTTTCTTGATTTTTAACTTGCACATGTGCAATAGGGTACAAACCACTAACATGCACAGTTACTCATTATCTATTAGAGTAATATGAAACAAAATTGATATTCTAGGTTACAATGTGAGAAATTTTATACTTAAGGGTGCAAAGTAAAACAAAGATAATAATTCAAGGGGTAAAGTGTAATTTATCCTATAAAATATAATCTCTCCGTGCGTTTAATTGCTAGGATTATTGACTCAGCATCTTTGCTTTGTAACACAGCTACTGGAAGAGTGACCACAAAAATTGATGTCTTCTCATATGGGGTGGTATTGATGGAGATGATTACGGGTAGAGGAGCACTGGATGAGACATTTCCAGAGGATAGAATTCATTTGGTTCCATGGTTCCGAAGAATCCTTGTTAACAGAGACAACATCAGACAGTCCATAGATCCATCCCTGGACCCAGACACAGAAACCTTAGAGAGCATCTTCAAAGTATCAGAACTAGCAAGACACTGCACTGCTAGGGAGCCATCTCAGAGGCCGGATATGGGCCACGCGGTTAATGTCTTGTCCCCACTTGTGGAGCAATGGAAACCCACCAGCGATGAGGAAGAAGATGGCTTTGGTATTAACCTTCGGATGAGCCTCCCTCAAGCCCTGCAGAGATGGCAAGCCAGTGAAGGTTCCACGATGAATGATCTGAATACTTACAGTGATGCATCGACGACATGCGACACAGCAGCCTTCTGGGGTTGAAAGATCATTCAGTTCAAAGGATGCCTAATGACTAGAAATTAAGGAAAGATGTGAATGCCAGTTGAGACCAATGCACAATAACTACAAACATGGATGTAAAGGCACCATTGTGAAGACAAGATAGGAATATTCCAGTACTCCTTAATCCAATGTCTGTCGAGAACCAGTGTGATATAGCAGTTCTTCTTTACATTTTTTTTTCAATTTTTTTTATTCAAGTTCTTATAGCTCTCTATTCTCGAATATTGTCTTTGTCCTTGACAAGATGGGTTCTTTGCTTTGTAACTAGGATTTGTTGATGTAAATAAAGCAGAGTTATTGCACGGGTGATTTCCTGGCCGGATGTGTACCGGCTAATCTCCTCCAAAATCCAAGTCAATCGGCCTAAGAGTCATAAACACAGGGTATGTTTTGGATTCGAATTGCGTACATTGGTCTAATTTCTTGAGGGAAATTTATATTTGGATTTGCAATGATGACAATACCCTTGAGTCACATCTTAAAATTTAATGGTCTGCACTTATATCCTAGCATCATGAGTGATATCCCATCATGTAATGACTAATCTCCTCAAGCATGTAAACTTTTGCTCGGGCATCGCCGAGCATTAATGTCTCATCCCCCAATCATTAAATACTCCCTCTCAGTGCTTGATATCTATGTCCAAGTGTTTATTTCTCGAAAATAAGCATTTTCGGAATTTATCAAGTCGACGTAATGACTATTAATGACTTGTATTGATGATTGTCTTCACATTTTTTGAGAATTTAAACTCTCATTAATGGTCCTGTTATAAACACTCAAAACTCAAGAGTCATTAATGAGTTGTCAGATCCTTTTCAATGCTAAGCCTTGGGGGGCACACTCGACTTCTCCGGTTATAACTCCTTGGTGCCTTTCCTAAGCACCCTTTGCACTCCTTAACAGCTATAACTGTTCACATGTACATTTACTACTGTCATGCCACCAAAAGTCCCATCTATTATCTACATACATATATATATGATGATGGTTCACTATTAATCAAGAAGTCTCGAACATAATAATTGTGACTATTAAATTATCAATGAGTTCTAACACTAAATGCACTCCATTATCAATCTAATGGTCAAAATGTGTTACGTCCTCAAATTATATCCTTAGATTATGTCCCAATATCTTACCCCAAAAAAAATTAAATTATGTCCAAATAGAATTAGTAATCATTTAATTGTGTTTTAACATTCCAAAGTTTAAGATTCTTCCTCTCAAACATAAGCACTATCGTTTTTTGAGGCGAGCCTTTACTATATTTTCTTTTGAGGAAATCGAAGTTTTAAACCCGACGAAAAAAATCATCAAAAAATGACGATTGTCTGTGAAGATTTCCACAGAAAGACCCACCAAGGTATAGTATTAATCCCGTTTTCTACTAAAAATATATTGTTAATTCTGTTAACAGTAGAAAAAAAAAACTTCTTCTTTATTGTTTTCTTCACTGGTTCTGCTCTTGCTGATCCTCAAAATAATAAACTCGCAATCTTCGTAATCAAACTCTCCTTCTTGGGGGTTATGGTTTGGATAGTTTAGATATTTTTGGTTTATCTAAAATATCCTTATAGGAATAACCAAGTGTTTGACATAATGTGTTTCACAAAATTTTATGGAATTATAAAATGATTCACATTGTATTGTATTTCAAGGAGAGAAAAATTATTTTCAAAGAAGCGTGACCATTCAATTGGATCTCATTACCTTTAGATGACTTTATTGAAATCAATGGTATAGTTTATATTTACTCTTCATACAAGTTAATTCACCTTCCGATTCTGCGTAGGTTTTTTAGATCCTCTCCCTCTCTCTCTCTCTCTCTCTCTCTCTCTCTCTCTCTCTCTCTCTCTCTCTCTCTCAAGTTACAACCATAGAGTCAATCTTGGCAAAGCTAATTTAACAATGGCCAAGCATGCTAAGTGGTCCTATTTTAAGCCCTATTGAGGCCTATAAAAACTTCCAACCTCATGC